GTTTATAAATGCACATGTTTAACAGCACAAGCAAAGCTGATCTACTAAGCAGGTGAACAGGGGAAGATTCTACATTAGTTTCATTTATGATGTTTGGAAAGATGATATGATAGCTGTTTCCTAGTGATGTTCTGTTTAATATATTCCAACAATGACCATGACTGGTTGAAACTATTGGAATTATCCAGATGACAGAAGCTACTCCACCATCTTTGTGTCTCCAAGTCTTCATGGAGAACATAGGTCCTTTTTTTTTATATTCCACAAAACTAAAGAGTGTCTTTTTTCTTGTTTTCTTCCCACATAGTAATAGTCTGTATTTAGCACTTTTGCAATTCGCAGATGCCTTTAGGATGTGCAAAGAAAATCCACTCTGCTCTCCTAACCTGTGGTGACAGCCAGTAGGACCCGCAGTATCCTTATCTAGCTAAGGAGGTATGCACTACTTTTGCACCTGTTATCAATTGCGCTCGGAAACTTTGCAGATGATCTGCGAAATGGCAAATGATTGTTAGCACTATATTTTGTTTGCACTCCTTATTTGGTCTTCTAGAAAATCAAACCCTCAGTATAAGATAACAGTATAGGCAACATTCACATTTTTAACTGTGCTTTAAGTATGGTATTGTTAGTTTTCTGCATTTGTTCTTAATCTCTTCACCTTAGCCATTTAGTATACCATCCATCCATCCATCCATCCATCCATCCATCCATCCATCCATCCATCCATCCATCCATCCATTTTCCGTCTCGAGGGGTGCTGTTGCCTATCTCCAGCTGGGGGTACACCCTGGACAGATTCCCAGTCTATCGGGGGGCATTTAGAATATTATAATTATTCAATATAATTTAAAAGATCTTCCAAGTTCAGTCCATTCTGAACACATAATCAGTTCTTATAAGGTCCAGAAACCTTACTTAAAAGTAAAAAGCACAGCCTAATGGAGAACCAAGTTCAGGACTTAGAACCTTTGACTTACACTAAACCAGGTCAGAAAGACTCTTTGACCAGTTTTGAATATGGCTTTTGTTCTTCCACTACACCTTGGATGTGTGTTTTGGATTATAACTCAATAACGTTGCCATATTTTGAGAAATAGTTTTGTTGAAACACATGTAAAACATTGAGAGGGAGAGCTTTGTTGAAAGAGTTAAGTCCAGCACTCTTTGTCCGCTGTAATACTCTGAGGTACCAGCCCTGCAAGACTTTTCTGTTTCATCGTAAATGCATAACTGAAGAAATAAACAAAAACTGAATGCTAGATTACCTCACAAACTAATCTTGAATGTTTCTTGGATGAAAAACTACCTTCTTTATTATGAAATATTAAAAAAAACCTCCTACTCACACCATGGTAGTCACACTCACCTATTGCTTCTATAGAGCAGCAAAGCCAATCTTGAATCATTCTGGAGCGTCTACAGACAGAACTGCTTCAGCCTCATAAGGCAACCATCCCTCCAAACCAGATAGACTGAGGAAGGAAAACCACCTAGCATATATGGAAGCCGAGTCTGTAGAAGTTACCCAACCAACATATGCTCAAGTAAGGCTTTTATGTTTTCACTTCAACCATTACCATGCAGCTGAAATCTTAAAGATCAAGGCTTTGCATGATCTTTCCATTTCCTTTTTCCTCTCAGCTTTATCAAACTCAAAACCAATAATATGCATTAAAATATGTGGACTTGTAAATGTATATTTTTGGACTTCTTGAATAGTTTAACAAAGAATTTACTCAAAACATTTCTTGAGTTATCAGAGTAGTTGATTAAAGAACATTGGAAGTATCTCATATCTCTACATCTTAATCTTTCTCTCTGACTCTTGTAGGAAATGACAAAAAGACTCTCACGTCATCTGAAACCACATCCAGGTGTATCATACATTTCACCAGACAGTAATTGACAGTGACAATATATTGGTACAAATGTTGAATAACAATGCTATTAAAGCTTTGGGAAAATTCAGTTAAACTGTTTCACGTGTGCAAGGACATGCAACCAACTGTGTTTGAACAAACGGCTACTCTACAGTCAGTAAAATACCCACCGGCCCAATTTTAATTCACTGCATGTTTCTTAAACCAAAGAATGTCTGGATGTCTGTGGATCTCCCCTCATCCACTGTCTTATTAAGGCTACTGCATATTTTAAAATCTGTGGAGTGGACCCACCTCAACCTCAAATAATAAATAAGTCATATCATTAAACAAACAGTTGAAGTAAAGGAAGTTTCAATAAAACTTTGAAGCTTTCATTCTGATGTCAAGTTTCAGTTTTCAGTTCAACTGTGCAGGGTATGATTTATCCCTGATAAAAGAATAAATGTAAAATTTCATTATAGGTGGATGTGAATAATAACTATTATTATAAAAAGTTTGTAAAAGCTCTACTTATAACTTGGCTCAAATAGAGTCCTTCAAATACTGAAAAGTATATATCTTACAACCAGATAAAATCATGTACCTACCATAGAAAGTCAAATATAGCCTTATTACAAAAAACAAAAACAAAAAAACAAAATAATAACATAAAATAAAAAGAATCAATGTTTTGTCCAGGTTGAACTTTTTAAAAACTTACCTCACCTGTTAAAGGCTCCTCGCCTTCTTTCATCCAGTTGAATCAGGAGCCAATAGGATTTAGGTCCCTCTTATAATCTTTCTGAATAGCAGAAATTGCCAAGTCCGCCGCGTGCCCATGAAGTGTGATCTGCGCGAGCTGTGGATGAGTGACAGTGAGACGGATACACTGTGACAGAGCGAGTCTTGCCGTGGAATGGGATAGAGAGAGGGCCCCAGTGACAGGGGTTGATGCTGCCATCTAGTGGCTTCATGGTGTCAGTAAAGAGAATGAAGAAAAAATAAATAAATAAATATATATATATATATATATATATATATATATATATATATATATATATATATATATATATATATATATATATATATATATATATATATATATATGTAATTTTTTTTTGGCATCATTTACAATCTTATAGATACAGAACTGCCTTAAATCTGTTTGGTATAGCTTAAAAAAAAGGTGTTGGAAAGATTCTTTCCAGATTTACATGACTATCTGCATCACACAGCTGGTTTTAAAACATACAGAAGGATGTCTTCAGGTTTAACTTTTTGAATTTTTTATAAGGGTAGCCAGGCAATAACCAATGTACACTGAGGGATGGCCGGCGGATCGGCACCAGAACCTCAGGGTCAATCGACACTGTTCCAACAGGAAAATAAACGAACAAAACATCCATATTTTCTAAATAAAAACTAACTATACTTTCCTACAGCCTTTGCTAACAAAGAGACGCATATATTTAAACATCCATAATTTATAGATAAAAGGTATAGTGGATAAAACTCAGTTTTGAGTTCTGGGGTGTAAATCAATCATTGTTATTACTTACTTACCTTGTATCAATAATCGCTCTGCATAAAATTTATATTTACAAGCACTAATATCTACATAAATTGATTATTTTATAAGTTTTTATTAAAATTGTTATTTATCTTTGATTTCACTGAAGGCTCCTAGATGACTTGCAAAGACACATAATTTTCTCTTTACTCCATAAAACACAAAATCTAGTTCTAAGAAAGAGCATGATTTCTGTACTTATCATCTTTGATGTTAGTTTATTGATGTGTATAATTAACCACAAAAAATAAAATGTTTTGAATATTCCACTTGAGAGTATTATTGCTGCCACCATCTGTATTAGAGGGGGGGGAAATGATAGGGGTGACCGCAGGGATGGCCAATGATTGGCTCAGGGTGGCCATGGCCACCCCTGGCCCCCCATCTAGCTCCGCCCCTGGTTTGAAAGGCCCAGAGAAGACATTTTTAGTTTTAAGGAACCAGTTTGAGAATCTTTGAGCTTTTGTTAATTGATGTATTATTTTCCTAGAAATCATCATTGGAAGATGGATAAAAAAGGTTCATAATAAACTGGACCCAACCAGATTCCATTGGGTGCTGGAAAGAGACATGACAGGAAAATACAATCACTGAACCAGAACGGCTTTCTATCCCAATGAAAAACAGACAAACAAAATGTCTCTGACAGTAATGATGATCAATTGCTCAATCTGGTAAAGAGACACCAATATCTAGAACTTTCTATAAAAAGTAAAAAAAAAAAAGTTAATGACAGCAATAATATTTAAATGGCGAGTTGGAGGACAAAATGACCACTTTTTTACCCCCTGGATAATATCTATTCAGCAGCTGCATTATACTTCATGAATATCTGATGACAGTATGGGAGAGAAGAGATATAGTTGAATTAAAATGTTGTAAAATGTGCTGCATCCTTGTTTACAAACTATCTGCTGGTTATTTTTTTTTTTCACTTTATAGCACATATAAGAACAGAACTGTGACAACACTGCATTAAAAGGTTTACCTGTTTTTGTAGGCCAAAGCATAGAAGCCCAATTCTGTTTGATGAGGTGCAGATTTTCCAAAAGAACAAGGTTTTTGTTCAATAACACTGATTGAAAACTGAACCAAAAAGAAATTAATGTGCAATAAAGAACGATGAATTGTACTAGTGAACATTATCAATCATCAAACATATTCATATATTTAAAAAATATTTTTATAATTCAGTGAATAAACATGAATGCTAATTATGCCAATTAATCCTCTATCTGTTGTAACAAATTAGAGGTGTCATATTTTCCTTTAATGTTGATAGAAAGCACTGAATTAAACTGAATTTAAAGTTAAAAACTGGTTCATAAAAATAATGTTTATAAAAAAACAATCATGAACGTTTGGATGTAATATTAATCAAGAAAAACCTAAGCAGAGTACAAATACTGAATAAAAAGCATAAATAAATTGCAAATATCAAATGCACTATGTAATATTTACTGTATCAATTTGTGGTTTGTAATATCTTAGGGACGAATTTAAACTCTGTTTCTTCCAGTAAATGACTATGCATATTCCGAGCAGCATTGAACGCACCACAATCATTAGAGCGACTGAGTGTACTTTACGTTACCTCTCGAAAAAACAGTAAATATAAATCGATTCTGTACAGCTAAGGGGAATATAAACCCAAAAATATTAACAGCTGCGAGTAACGTAGTTCCACTGCCTGTTGATGTCTGATCAACAAGAAACTTTTTGATTGAATCTGCGTTCAAACTTGATAAAGGCGGATTCAGGTCGGTCCTGGATGTCTAAACTACCAGGAAATGCAGGTGCCTCGCTGCTCGGGGACAAGTCCTTGGACTTCTACCGGGACCCGGTGATCTTTTGTCAGCAGCTGATTGAAAAATACCACAGCCGTGTGTTCCTCTGCCGCTTGCTGAACAGACCGACTGTGTTTATCTGCTCTGTTGAGGGGATGCGAGAGCTGCTCTGTGGTACGTTCACAGTCAGGTGTTTCTCTGTGGTGATTACAGCCTTTAGGCATACTGCTGTTTTCTCATTTGTTGTCGTTAAAAACGCATCATGCTCTTTAAAGTTTTCCACACTTTGTCACATTGTTAACCTCAAATATTGATATTTTTATAGGATATTTAAGTGATATATATATATATATATATATATATATATATATATATATATATATATATATATATATATATATATATATATATATATATATATATATACAGGTGCTGGTCATAAAATTAGAATATCATGAAAAAGTAGATTGATTTCAGTAATTCCATTTAAAAAGTGAAACTTGTATATTATATTCATACATTACATACAAACTCATATATTTCAGATGTTTATTTTGTTTAATTTTGATGATTACAAATGACAACAAATGAAAATCTCAAATTCATCATATCAGAAAATTAGAATATTACTGAAGACCAATAAAAACAAAGGATTTATAGAAATGTTGGCCAACTGAAAAGTATGAACATGAAAAGTATGAGCATGTACAGCACTCAGTATTTAGTTGGGCCTCCTTTGGCCTGTATTACTGCAGCAATGCGGCGTGGCATGGAGTCGATCAGTCTGTGGCACTGCTCAGGTGTTATGATAGCCCAGGTTGCTCTAATAGTGGCTTTTAGCTCTTCTGAATTGTTGGGTCTGGTGTATTGCATCTTCTTCTCCACAATACCCCATAGATTTTCTATGGGGTTAAGGTCAGGAGAGTTTGCTGGCCAATTAAGAACAGGGATACCATGGTCCTTCAACCAGGTACTGGTAGCTTTGGCACTGTGTGCAGGTGCCAAGTCCTGTTGGAAAATGAAATCTGCATCTCCAAAAAGTTGGTCAGCTGCAGGAAGCATGAAGTGCTCTAAAACTTCCTGGTATGTGGCTGCGTTGACCCTGGACCTCAGAAAACACAATGGACCAACACCAGCAGATGACATGGCACCCCAAACCATCACTGACTGTGGAAACTTTACACTGGACTTCAAGCAACGTGGATGAAGTGCCTCTCTTCTTTCCTCCAGACTCTGGGACCTTGATTTCCAAAGGAAATGCAAAATTTACTTTCATCAGAGAAAATGACTTTGGACCACTCACCAGCAGTCCAGTCCTGTTTCTCTTTAGGCCAGGCAAGACGCTTCTGACGCTGTCTGTGGTTCAAGAGTGGCTTGACACAAGGAATGCGACAGCAGAAACCCATGTCTTTCATACGTCTGTGTGTGGTGGTTCTTGAAGCACTCACTCCAGCTGCAGTCCACTCTTTGTGAATCTCCCCCACATTTTTGAATGGGTTTTGTTTCACAATCCTCTCCAGGGTGCGGTTATCTCTCTTGCTTGTACACTTTTTTCGACCACATCTTTTCCTTCCCTTCGCCTCTCTATTAATGTGCTTGGACACTGAGCTCTGTGAACAGCCAGCCTCTTTAGCGATGACCTTTTGTGTCTTGCCCTCCTTGTGCAAGGTGTCGATGGTCGTCTTTTGGACAACTGTCAAGTCAGCAGTCTTCCCCATGATTGTGTAGCCTATAGAACTAGACTGAAAGACCATTTAAAGGCTTTTGCAGGTGGTTTGAGTTAATTAGCTGATTAGAGTGTGGCACCAGGGGCCATCAATTTTGAACCTTTTCACAATATTCTAATTTTCTGATATGATGAATTTGAGATTTTCATTTGTTGTCATTTGTAATCATCAAAATTAAACAAAATAAACATCTGAAATATATGAGTTTGTATGTAATGTATGAATATAATATACAAGTTTCACTTTTTAAATGGAATTACTGAAATCAATCAACTTTTTCATGATATTCTAATTTTATGACCAGCACCTGTATATATATATATATATATATATTTATTTATTATTATTACTATTATTATTATTATTTTTAATCTAGTGATGGAAATGTTCTGCCAGTTCTTGAAAGGTGAACCTCTTTACCAGTCATGACATTAGCAGACCCCAACAGGTTTCCTTCCAAGCGTGCCCTGTGTTTGGCTCCATCTCCTCATCAACTCTGACCATCTTCCCTGTGCCTACCGAAGAGAAGCACCCCCAGAGCATGACACTGCCACCACTGTGGGGATAGTGTGTTAAAAGTGATGTGCAGTGTTAGTTCTCTGCCACATAGTGTTTTGCATTTTGGCCAAATTTTTCAACTTTGGTCTCTGGCCAAAGCTGCTTCCTCCACATGTTTGCTGTCTCTGGCAAACTGCAAATTAGAATTCCTATGGTTTTCTTTAAACAAAGGCATTCTTCATGCCACTGTTCCATACAGACAACATTTGTTTAGTTCCCGACTGATAGTTGTTCTGTGAACAAATTCTTCCCTGAGCTGTGGATCTCTGCAGGCTCTCCTGGCTGCATTTTGTTTAGCATGTTAGTTAGATAGACTTAAAATCTGTGCATGGAAATGTAAAATTAGAAGGAAGATAAACCATAAACAGAAAGTACACTGTCCTTTAGTTCAACGGTTTTACCCATTAGGTAATGACAAGAATAGAATAGAAAATGCCTTTCTTGTGCCACAATGGGAAAATTGTGATAAGGATTTTTTTTTTCTGAAATGATTTCTGTTGAATGCCAAATAAAAAAAAAAAAACGACAACATTGACATTTTAACTTTTTTTTAAACTAAGGTTTTTGCACCTTTTTCATTCTTTGGTTTCTGTCTTGAAATGCTTTTAAGTTAATGTTCTAGACAATTTGAAGTAAACCACCCTGGAGTAGGATGGTTTTTGATCATTGAAAACATTTCAGTTTTCTTAGGAGGAAATATGGCAACAGGTTCAAATTGATGAAGTTAAACTATGCTAAATTTCAGAAACCAGAAAGCAAAATCAGCACTTAAAAGGTATAGGGGAGGATTTTCGCAAATTTTTGAAAAGACCTGCCCTCTTCACAAAAAAAAAAAAAAAAAAATGCACATACACAACTCTGCACCCACTTCCGAGAAGGAACGCCTATTAAACGCGTGTAAGAGCATGCATGAGCCCATTTCTACGACAGAGTAAAAGGGCCAGGCTAGAGATATTTTTTTTTCTTCTATTTCGAGAATAAAATTGTAACATTACGAGAATAAAGTCGGAATTACAAGAATAAAGTTGCAACATTATGAGAATAAAGTAACAAAATTACAAGAATAAACTCGTAAAATTACGAGAATAAAGTTGTAAAATTACAATAAAAAAGTCATAACATAGCGAGAATAAAGTCGTAAAATCTTGAGAATATATTCATAAAATTACGAGAATAAAGTCATAATATTATCAGAATAAAGTCGTAACATTATTAAAATAAAGTAGTGATATTACAGAAAAAAGTCACAGCGAGAATAGTAATACAATTACGAGAATAAAGTCTTAAAATTAGGAGAATAAAGTCATAAAATTATGAGAAAATATTCATAAAATTACAATAAAGTTGTAATATTACAAGAAAAAGTCACAACGAGAATAGTCATAAAATTTCGAGAATGAAGTCGTAAAGTTACCAGAATAAATGACATTATGAGAATAAAGTTGTAAAGTTACAAGAATAAAGTTGTAACTTTACGAGAATAAAGTCGTAAAATCACGAGAATAAAGTCGTAAAATGACGTGAATAAAGTCGTAAAAATCTGAGAATAAAGTCATAATATTACAAGAATAAAGTCGTAATATTAAGAGAATTAAGTCCTAAAATTACAAGATACAAGTTGTATTTTATGACAACTCTTACAAGAACCACTTGCTTCCCTTAAATGAGCAATATCGAGCATTATGTGAAGGTATCGGTTTGACAAATAAGAAAATCTTTTAGCACACACGCATCAAATTGGGCGGCATTTCAAAATGGACTCAGGTTGCTGTTTGGCGGTGCTGGTCGGCCTGTCGGTCAGAGCTCAAAGTTTTCTTTCTCAGACGGGTTGCGGTGTGATGACTTCATTCTCGTAATATTACAACTTTATTCTCGTAATAATACGACTTTATTCTCAAAATAAAAAAATAAAAAAAATCTCTAGCCTAGACCTAATACTCTGTCGTACATTTCTCCTCATGCATGCTCTGTTTAAAAGTTGCCGTTTGCATCGCTCATACAAGCTTACTCTCCAAAAGAAGATTTGCAATTTTTCCACTATGTCAGACTCACCACCAGTAAGTGAAAATGGGGACGAGCACCTAGGCCTTATGTAAACATATCACCAGAATGATTGACAATTAGGAGGACCACTTATTTTGATGATCCACCCAGAAAAAGAACATCCTCCTCTATACCTTTAATCTCTGACCTCGCATGGCTTATTTAAAAACATTATGACAGAAATGGAAAAAAAAACTGCAGAAGCATGGCTTGCTTTTTAAGTCTTGCTAGGATAGGTTCACTTTCAGCACATTTCTAAACTTAGGTCTTGATATTAAACTCCTGACTAGTATGAATTATAATTATGTATGTTTGTGTGGTTTGTTTCAGAGAAATCCACCATATTTCTAAAGGACCCCACAGATTTAATGACAAACATTTATGGAGACACTGTGGTCACCACTAACGGTAGGCATGCAGATAAACATTTCCGTGTTAATGTAATTCATATCTTTGTAAATATTCTGTTGTTCTTCAGGTGAGGAGGCTTGCCTCCTCCGTCTGTCTCTCAACAGCCTGTTTTCAGGAACTAGTTTGAAATCATCAGCGGACTACATCTCCAGGTAACTACAGTGGTGTTCTTCAATGGTTCCGCCTTAAATATAATTATCATACATTAAAATATGTCAGATTGAAACAGGTTTGTTCTATAGGACTTTGAAAATATACTTTTCTTTCCCTACAGTGTTTGTGAACGTTCCTTAAAGGACCTCTCCGTCAGGTTGTATAACACCTGTGTGCCCTCATTAACTGTATTGTTTTTCACCTGCATTATTAACATCTGTTGCTTCTCTGCTTTATTTAGAACTGGCACTTTGACTTTCTGTCAATCCTGCATTTTCTCACATGCTCTTTTATAGCTTAATGTGAAAATATATTTCAGAGTAATTGATGTGCAAGCTAATGCAATATGCATCCACTTTTTATTGTTTTTATAGAAATACAAAAGTTATCAGTTTAGCCTAACTGCATGTCTGTGTATGTGTTTAGTGGGCAGCCACAGTGTATTTACTCTGTCTTTAAGCGACTGGGGACGGAGTTGGTGTTGGGTCTTTTCCTAAACGTACGAGTCGAGGAGCAGCCTGAAGTTTTCCAGGAAATCATGCAGCTCTGCACAGAACACTGGCATGGTAGGGCTGCACAGTTAAAAGCAACATGATCTGTTATTGACATCAGTTTTTTTTTCTCCTAACTCTATTGAAAAATACATTATTGCTTCAGCTGAAAAATGCATAAGAGAACAGTTTGAGGACCTTTTACTAATATTGAGACTTTTAAAAAGGCATTTTGATATCTTTGAAATAAAGAAAAACAACCCTTCAGAATACCTATGATTCCCTAGCTTTTTAAAATAGCTCCTATGTTCTTGTTTGATTGTTTAACTTAAAGCTACAGTACAGTGTGTAGTAATTACAGGGATTGTAGTTACTACACACATATTACATTTCTGTAATATATAACATATTACAGAAATTAAATATTTTATATATTAGTATTTTATTATCATCTACGAACTGAAAATCTTAATCTTTATGTTTGCATTACCTTAGAGACTGCTATTTATAAGGAGCAGCTCTGGCATTTATGGAGGCAGGCATCTTTTGTGCTACGGCAGCACAGAGCAGACAAACTACTGACTGTGAGATCGCCATTACACTCAAATGTGACCGTGTTAAGTTAGGCTTATATACAATCTATATCCTTGTGTGAAAAAGTGCTTACTTCTACTCATGTGCATGGATCTGCATCCCAGCTGCAACTCTCTCTACCTTTCTGTGTTGCAGCAAACCCACTTTAAGTGTATTAATCCCCTTAACAAGCTGCAGCGACAAATCTTGTGTATTTCTCTTTGTAAATGTAATGTGACCGAGATTCAGCTCCAATGTGATTTAAACATTTTATTTTGGGAAATTGTGATTATATTGCAAATGCAATCAATTGCCAAACCCTATAGAATACTATTTATAGTATGATCTATGTAAATAAACCACATAACAAGATGGTTGATGTGGACGTTGTGGAAGCCATTTTGTACCATGATGGCCTCCATATTGTTGGAGGGGGAGAAGCAGGGGAAGCAGTATAACTGACAGTATAAGTCATAAAAACAAACCGATATTGATCAGAGCCCTATGCAGTTATATACATCCTCTTTGTATCAGTATCTTTTAGAACCACCCTTCTCTGCATTCGCAGGTTTTTTACGGATTGATAATCAGTGATTGGCCATAAAACAATAGGTGCACCCCTAATTAAAAAACACAAAGTGCTTTAGGATTAAACAAAATAAAACCTCAAAAGAAAACAAAAGCTCAGGTATCTAACATCATAGGATCCCCCAAAATATTATTCTTAAGAACACATTTTTCTGCACAGCATTGCCAGACATGCTCACTTATTCTTTTTAAATTTGCTCACTGTATGTTTTTGACACTGACTGTCATTTTGCTGCCAGGTTTGATCTCAGCCCCAGTAAAAGTGAAGGTTCCTCTGTGGACGTCTGGTTTTGCCAAGGCTCTGGATGCCAGGAGCAAACTGATGGAAATCATCAAAGACAAATTAGAAAATGATAAGCAGGGGTGAGGCGGCTCAGGTTACCTGAATGCATCGTGGTTAGAGAAACAGAGAGCAAATGCCTCTTCTGCTTTTCTTAACTCTTTCTTCATCTTGAATGTGTTTTTTTTTTTCTTTTTTACTTCTGCTTTTCCGTTCAGACATTTTTAACATTTAACATTTGGAGCATTTTTGTTTGATCAGTTTCTATCTGTTTTATGCAAACAGAATCTCAAATGGGAAAAAGTGAAGGATAATTGAGGCCTCTGTTCTCTTAAATGATTTTTTTAGACTTAATTGTGACTTCATTCTGACATCAGGTTTGTCGGCTCCCTGGCTTCTTTACCGTTTCCCAATTCTGGTTCCGCTGCCCAACATCTCCTCCTGTTCATCTCAGCACTAATTCCCAAAGCTCTTGCATCGCTGCTCACCTCCTTCACTCTGGCTCTTGGAGGACCTGAGCAGGTAAACACATTCAGGTACTGGTTTAGAATTAGAAATGCAAGGATATCCTGTAGAGCTGTGCACATCCAAACAAGCCTGATGGGAAAAGACGTTAGCTGCTAGAGTTGTTAACTTATAAACCTTCTGGATCTTGGCAGTGTAGGAATATGTGATAGGTAGGAATGTGTGATAGGTAATACTCCAAATTGTGAAGTAATGTATATAATACGCTCTAGCCAATTGTAATAACATTAGTTATGCTTCATGATTCCCCTTTGGATCAGAGGGATTCCCGACGAGAAGCCCTCCATGACCCTGATCACCTTCAAAGAATCCTCCTGGAGGTGCAGAGGTTATGGCCGCCCTTCATTGGTGGACGGAGAATAGCAGAAAAGGTAGGCTGATCACAAATTATAGGTCTATTTTAAATCAGAGTATGTATTCATATCAGTCCAAGACGGATAATTCGATTACAAAGATGATCACGTCAAACACGGTTGGTGCAGATTTGATCAAATTATTAATATTATGTGCTGGTTTTTATGAAAAAAAATATATATATTTATATATTAAAAAATATAATATGTATGCAAAGTACATTATGGCATACTTGTCCATTTTGACGACATTGAAATGCAATGCAATACTTTCCATTGTGGGTTTTTTTTATTTGTACAGTTATGTTTCTTTCAATTTCTTCACCTAATCTAGATACATATTTGTCAGGTTACATGTTTGCCACAAATCATATAGGGGGACACAATAAACATGTAAAAGAGATTGATCCTTCTGGTCTATGTGAACAATATTATGCAATGTAAAAACTAGAGTGTCAGTTATCCTCCGTAGACTATTGCTATGGTGGTGGCAGCATCATCCTGTGGGGATGTTTAACTTTACCAGGTATAGGTAAAGGGGTCAGAGTTAATTGAGAGATAGCTACTGTAATGCCGCCAGGACCCTTAACATCGACAAGAGCTTCAGTCGAATAGTCCAAATAAGAGCATATTTATGTTTGCATTTATAATTACCCTGTCAAAGTCCCATTCCTCAAGCTAACAGAGGATCTGTACCAATACTTGAAAAAAATCACAGATGTTCTCTATCCACCTGACTGCACCTGGTGGTTTTTCATATTCAAATTGGCAAAAATGCCAGTATTTGTTTATTCAAAGCTGATGGATACATACCCCAAAAGCCTAAAAAATTCAAAAGCAGGGAAGGGTGATTCATATTGACACAAATGGGCTGTATATACCATCACTGGGTTGTCTGTAAAATGTTGAAAATCTTACGTTTTTTATCCACCTCACACCAATACACTACTCTATCTCTGCCAAGAACAAACAATACCTAGAAGCACATTATAGCTTGTCTTTGTATGTTTTTGTTTAGCAAAATAACAGCAATTTAGTTAGTAATTAAAGGAAAAACAGGCATTTTAGTTGCTGTCTGAAACATGGTAGTTTAGAACCACAAGGAAGGTTGGCATATTGTTTTTTTTACAGGTTAACTGACAATCTTTTTATAAAAGCAATAACACAACTTGGCAAAGTTATGTTTGAATTGTTTAATTGTATTTTTTCAGTATTCACTTGCACCATTCATGTAAATCATCCGTCACGCTTATCCCAAGCAGGGTTGCGAGTGTCTATCTCCAGCTGTCTACGGGCGAGAGGTGGGGTACACCCTGGACAGGTCGCCAATCCATCGCAGGGCAACACAAAGACAAACAGGACAAACCACCATTCACACACACTCACACCTAAGGTTGAATCTAGATGAGCCAATTAACCTAACAGTCATGTTTTTGGACTGTGGGAGGAAGTTGGAGTACTCGGAGAGAACCCATGCATGCACAGAAAGAACATTGCAAACTCCATGCAGAAAGATCCCGGCCGTGAATCGAACCTTCTTTCTGCAAGGCAGCAATGCTACCTAATGCCCAACTGAGCAGCTTAAAATAAAATTAAATCTTTTGACTAACTGCCAATGATCAATTACATTGAATTTCATGTTAAATTAATATAACCCAGTATTTTAATGTGAATAACAACTATTTTGCATTGATCAAACTGTTGTGCAGAGTATCTTTCCACCAGATGGCACCAGCTGACAGAAGAAGAAAAAGCAAACGCTTCCTGTCTAATTTCTGCCCTGCTTAGCTCAGGAAAAACACCACCTATAATTTGATTTATTGGGCTTGGACCCCTACAGTAGATGCTGACTTAGTGTTTTAGGGTTACTAGAAAATAATTTGGTATTAGGAGTATCGGTCTGTAAAGGGGTACATTGTGTATTCTCTTAAATGTCCTCCTTAAAAAAAAAACAATTGATGCATATTTCTACCGTTGGGACTTCTGTGAGATGTGAGACTTCAGTATCTCGTTTCTGAAAAAGTAATAATTGTAACACATAACTAAATTATAATGCCACTTTTTAACTATTGTTCAGTTTAATCCACATTTGTAATACAAGGCTTAATTTCTCTATTGGCTTGAAGCAGCAGATCAAGGACATTCTGTTCAGCTTCTTCCAATTGCAGCTCTCTATGATCATTGTGACCTCATCAAACCGTATTACGCAACAGTCTGATGGGAGGCATTGATCTGTCTCTGTGATTGATTGGCCAACCAGGAAGGAAGCGAGCGGGGAGGTCAGGGTCTCTGGTGGGGCAGATGTGTGCCAATGACAATGTGAAGTGGAAAGTTTAGACTCTTTTAGATTATGCTGCTGAACATCCTGATCCCAGTCCCCTTGGTTGGGTTTATATGTGGTGGTCATGGAGGATATTAGGAGGAAAAAAATTGATTTAAGGAAATTTCTTTTCTGTTATCTGGGAAGAGGCTCCAGTAGATGTTAGAGTATATTTTTAAAGATCATTAGTGGTGTTAATTTGTACAATTATCCCTTCAATCTGCCATTAAGATAAAGTGACACAATGATTTTATGATACTAAAAGTCCCCTAAATAATCTGAAACATGACCCTGTTAAATGTATTTAAATTTGTGGAGCATCAAACTTGATATTTTTTAAAGCAGAACAATGAAATTGAATTACAGTTGCCACATACAATCACCAATGGAGGAATTTGGATAGATGTTCAGCTTATTGGTTCAGATTTTCCAGGGGAATTATTTTGCAGCCTTGCACAGACCTGACCCCAGTGTTATAAAGGGAAACAAGTAAGTACTATATGAATCCAATTTCTCAATGTGTTGCAGCTCTTTACAGCCAGAGCTTTTTAGATGGAGCTGGCTGACAGGTCAGCTAAGGAGGTATATTTTCCTAAGTTGGAAATACTTTCCCTCTAAATTAGCTGCTTTGTTCAACTTTGAGTTGAAAAGGGATATTTTGTGTTATAGTGGGACCAAATTTTCAGGGCAACCTGTGTAGCCGAGCTTGATTAAATGTTCCATAATCATTTCCACACCAACTGCTTCTGACTTCTCTGGTCATCCATGCTGTTCTGAGGAAGTTTTCAAAGAGTGGGACTCTTTGGGGTGTTAAAATATACAACTTCTGTTGTGTATGATCGCCACTGGCCAACCGAAGGTCTTAGCCAGATTTTAAAACTACTTAAGTCTGATGTTAAGTTTTTTTTTTTTTTTAGCTAGTTTTGTAGAGGTTTGGTTGTTCATTATTTTTTTTCTCTCAAACCTGTTTTTCTTAGTCTTAATTTGAACTTTTCCTGGACAAGATAAAAACCTTATTTCTTTGTGATTGTTTTATTAGGTATTTTGTTTCATATTTGCAGCTGCATTTGGGACCATTTTGCTACTGATGACCAAGATTGGTGTCAGTGTTTAGCTATTGGACAGATGGCCTCACATCACTCTAGCACTCTTTGTTATGGCCACACATCTTGACTTGGGTTTCTCTCTCTCTATGGTATGTTGTTATACAGTCCAAATCCACACTTGAATCTAATGGCATATATCCCTTAGCACGTCATTCAGCTCTGGGGAGGCCTGGTAAAGAGAAATTTCATTCAGGTGTGTTGGAGAAACGATACATCTAAAAGTTGCCCTAGAGGACTGGAATCGGGCACCTTTGCTCTAGAAAAATGTGGTTTCTTTCAGATTCAAATTCCATTCCAAACCAAAGTCCTGCTGCAATTTTTTTAGCATCGGGATTCAACTTTTAATCTTGCAGATATTTGTATAATTGATTTTTATGAGTTTTAATCATTACCATACCATGTTAAATGAGACCTGCAGGGTCTCATTTGTGTAAGAATGTTCTAACTACACCATTGTGAACTTGAAATCTTTTGAAAAGTCTCTGTTCCCAAATTGATGGATAACAGCTGATGTTTTCCCCTTTTTTTTCTTCTTTTTTTGACATTTTGTTAACACACACCTGGATGCTCCAGACAAGCAAACTGCCAAATGTACTGCCTTTATGGAGGTGGTCACACTCTCCGATGATGAATAGCAGCACCTGTCTGATACTTTCACACATGGAAGTAATAAGGGCCTCTATTTTTTTTTTTTTATACTGCATTTCCAACCAAAATTCTTCTTTGGTAATGCTTTAATATTTTTTATTTCAACAAAAACACAGAAGGTGGATCATTATTTATTTATTAGATGTAATAATACACAAGTATTTTATATATATATATATATATATATATATATATATATATATATATATATATATATATATATATATATATATATATATATATATATATATATACCTGTTAAGCAATCTTTGCATTCCTTAAAAAAACAGAGAGTAAGGAGTTTGCTACCCTCTTTTTAAATGTGGCAGGATGTTTATGCTCGGAGAAACACGTGCTGGAAGTCATTAGTATTCACAGTCGGTTGGAAAAAACCCGGATGGTCCATCAGGTGGAACGAGAATATGCAGCAGGTTAGGTTAAGCAGCCTGAACGAGTGTCTGTTTACTTGTCAGGAAGGAAAAGATTTCTTACATTACATTTTGAAGGTGTGTTTCCATATAGCCATAAAAAGGCATAGGAGAAGAGAAACTGTTCATATTCTCAAGAAATACACCCTAAAAGAAGATTGGTCAATAAGACCAAAAATGTCATTGAATTTTACCAATCTGTTTGATAGTTATGCATCCAGCCATTCTTTTCCAATCTAATTTGATAGTGTTTTAACCAATATATATTCGTAAAACGGAATACCAATACAAATTGGTCACTTTGACCAAAAAATTGTTTAATTAGTGTAATAACATTGAAAGCCAAGACCAGAGGCCCTGTTTAAAAAAGCAGGTTTACCATAAACTAAGTTTTTCTTCAACCTGAAATCAGGGTTTTCTATTTCACCAAGACAGTTTACTCATCCACTTTCTCTGTTACTGCAGTGATATTCTGCCCAACCTGGTCTGGAACAAGTTTTCTCCAATTAACTCTGATTGGTACCACAAAATACATGTCAGATTAAATAATACTATTTATACTTCAGCGATAGCATCTAGGTGTTACTTTATTGTATGTCTTTTACCATATCCGTTGGTTGTGCTGTTATTTTTACATCTCTTTGCAGGTGATGAAGCAGACTGAAGATGTTTTATCGTTATCTCCCTTTTATCTGCTCTTTCTTTCATCTTTTTCCCTTTTTTTCTGTTTTTCCTTCCCTATTCTACTTACATTGCAGTGTCCATATAATCTGTAAAACTCCCTGCATAATTATAATAAAGCTATTTATATGCATAAATCAAGCAGAACACTATGGCGATAGCCATACTGCTCCACTTGGGCTCTTTTTGGCATCAAGACAGTTATCCTTATTGCCACATTGCCAGACGGGACACTGTAACAAAAAAAAAACAAAAAAAAAATCAGAGTGTCCTCTGTTTCCGGCCTCCTTAAAGCCAATTACGATCTATTTCCTGATTTAGTCTGGAGAGTTTTGTCTTAGCTTTGTGCTAACAATGAAAAGAAAATCAGTCACTGGGTCCATTAGACACATTAGGTGTTAAAAGCACAAACATAGCTTGTCCTTTTGGTGAAAATAAATTAATTAGCATTAACTAGCATGGAACTCAATATCTATATTAAGAGTTGTCTTCATGAGGGCTACCATTTCACCCCAAAAATCCATCACTTAAATCCAGACCTTGTCTATCCTAACATTAGCAGCATTACACAGATGTGTGATAACAGCATTATGGAAAACTACTGCACAGTCAGACTTCACCAGTCCCATAGAATGGTTTTGTGCCTCCTCTACTACTTCTATTTCTATTAGGTTTCATATGGCTGATTATATGCAGCTTATTATTGATAACAGCCTCTGCCACATCTAAAACCATAAGTTTTAAACTATACTTCAAAGCTTTACTTCGAATGAATTTCACGTTTCAGTCGCACGGATTTCAAGTCGTGATTAAAAAAACACATTGACTGGATGAGATTTTCTGTTGATGGTTTGTTTAATGCTCATGAAGATCCAGATTTTTATTTTTTTATTTATTTTTTTTTTTTTTTACAATACAAGAAGAACTACTAAAATACATACCATAAATATATTAATTATTTTTCTGGGACATAAAAGGAATTACCTCAGGGTTAGGATTATGATTCATATGGTGATAACAACCTACTGAGCCTACTGGCAGGTAGGAGTCTCAATTTGAAGCCATACTTATAACCGCTAATAATGGCCATTTAATGCAATGATAACTGTAGCGTTGTTGCTCTATCTATTAAACACATTCTCCAATATTTTTTTTTAAATGCTTCATTAAAATCTCGCTCCAGTGGTGTGAAATAGCCACTTCCTTTTGTCTGTTGTCATGGTGACTCATCGAACGGGGGCTGCACAGATAATGGTTTTCATAGTTGTTACGCACATGCTTACAGTAACTCTGAGTGGACTTACTCAGAGTTGATTAAACTAACTCACGACAGCTGTTGTGAAACCAAAAACCGAGACTCTCCAACCTTTGGCTAGATTAATTCAGAGTTGAGGATTTGAGTTTGAGTTTCTTAAACCTGCTTTGTGAAATGTGCCTCAGGACTTAAACCACCAGCCCTGTAGTTGTGGGGAAAACTCCTGCATCCCACAACACAGTCCTCACAAATGTTTAATGGAATTCACTAATAGTTAATTCTAATATCTGAACGAAGGTTAAAGCCAACATTTGCATGCTGTACTGTATACATAACTGTTATTGTTTTCTAGGTCCATAACTATTACACACTGCATTGGACTGCAGCCAAACAGTCAAATTATTAAACCATCAGTTCCCGTTTATATTGGTTGTTTGGTTAACCAATTACATTTATTGATCCAAAACCAATGGCTTGGTCAGTTTCTGTCCAATATGTTGGTTAATCTAACCAAAACCGGTTTAACCAACCACATCAGTTTTTCCAACCAATCCATTCTTGGTGTGCATTAGTCTATCAGGGTTTGGTCAAAGATTGAAATTGTTTGAGAGATTGGAAATTGGAAATCATGTAGAGACATGTGGAGATGTCTATCCAATATCGTAATGCCAATACCTTAATGCCAATAATTATCTTGTCTTCTATTTGTATGTTTCTAGGATTCCACCCTTTCAGACTTCTGTGTTCCTAAAGATTATGGTGCAGTTTATATCAGCTACTTCATTCACCGTGACCCAGAGGTTTTCCAGCAACCTGACAGCTTCCTGCCGGAAAGATGGAGTGGAAGGTAAAATTTGTTTAGTAGATTCACAGCTCTTTGCATATTCTGCCATGGGAGATTTAAAATTTGTTTGCTGCTACTCTCTAAAGTATATTTTATCAGAAATGACCTACAAAGAGCGCTTAAGGTAAGAAAACTGTGCAGACATAACAATATGTTCATACATCAGAGCTGATGACTAATCTGATGTAACTAATGAATGCCTTACCGTGCAGCCAGGGTTTGACTAGTTAACAGACATTGAGTAAAGCTATCTCCATGGTGAAGCACTTTAGTGTTTTCACTTTAAGGCAACACTCTGTGACTTTTAGCCACAAGGGGTCCTGTAACTTCCAGGTTTACTGCCCTTAGTGGCAACTGACAACTAGTATCAGTATACCAGTATCAGGCAGGGCACCGATACTGCACTAAAATGGTGGTATTGGTATCGGCGGGTATCAACAAATAGGGCACCAATACCATTTTTGAAAGCCTGAAGTTTATTCAACTTTTGTCACCCATTCCAGGTAGGCAATAGAAAGTTCTACTGGGTTCACTTTGTATTAGTCTTTTTTCCTGCTTCATAAAGGTAGGCAGCAGCATGACAAAGCCATGATAGCAATTATTTTACATCAAAATATTATGCAGTTATTCATATATACACACACACATCAATTTCAAACAGATGGTATCGTTATGGTATCGGTATTGGCCGATACTGCACAGCCAGATACCGGGTATCGTGTCGGGGCCAAGAAATGGCACCGGCGCAACACTACTGACAACAGTTCTTTGTTGCAAAATTACCAAGTTTTCCAGACCATAGCGCACAACTCCCTATAAGCTGTGCCCACTATTTTTTTTTTTAAACTCAAAACTTATATATATTAGCCACACCGGGCTATAAGCCGCTGACATCTACTAAACTTTCTCCATCACACCTGCAGCAGTGAGAGCTTCTACTGAAAGATGGGGCTTTGTCAACTGTTTATTTCAGCTCTGCAGAAGTTCAGTCCAAACTCTTCATTAATTCGGCAGCTTTAATGTGGCAAAAATGTTTTAAAAATGTGTGAATTTTGGACATTTGTTTCCCCGTTGTTCCTGCTGCTAGCATGTTATTGTGCTAAATGAAAACTAGCCCCTTATTCTTTCATTTCCAACTTTGACTTAACTTCCTGGCGGTTAGGAAAAATTCACAGAAAAGCCGCACCTTCTTATAGACCACATGGTTCAAAGCATGGGAAAAAAGTTGTGGCTTATATAGGGTTTCTCCGTGTCATTAAAAGTCATAAAATTATTATTTTTTAAATACGTAAAGGCCTTAATTGGCATTAAAATTCATTCATTTGTTATTATAGTGGCATTTAAAATACTTTATATAAAAAAAAAAGTTTATAAAAACAATTTCTTCAGATATATTCTATCAGATATAACTGGTTCCGCATGTTTGCGCAGAACTGGAAGTTCCGGGAGTCTCCCTGATATCGATAGTTGTTCACGGATGCACACGAGTCCGATAAATTATTCCAGATTTTAGACTTTACGATGTGGTGTTATTTTTTTTTATGCGAGTGAGAGCATTCAGGCAATACAATAATTTCGTGAATCATGTGTGGATTAGAACTACTTCGATGGCGCAGGCACAACAAGAGAGGGCGGGTGTGAGGATGAGGTTGCTTGTGAAAGCTGCATTAAAAAGCATTAGATTAGAGTTGCTCATTTCTGTATAAACCCTGTTATAGTTCGGAAAATGCGGTAAATATGCTACAGTATGTTTGTTTTTAGTGGATGCATCCTCTGAAGCTCCCAGCCTACCTGGACTGGGTCCTTCTAAGGTTGTGAAAACAAGGAGCCCGGAAGAGTTGGGCTATATATTAAAACATGTCAAGCCTTCTCCAGCTGTCCCCACCCTCACTCAGCATAAGCTCTGTCGCCTAGTTGGATACAACTGTCCTGTCCTTCCAAACGGCCGTAAAGAAGGCTGCATTTGTCGGCAACATACCAAGGAGTCTTTCAATCCGAACAGGCCACGGCGCACCGCTATACCGTAATGGGCCGGCGAATCTGGTCTTCGGCGGACGCAGGCGCGAAATTTGAACACAGCAATTGTCTCACTTCACTGGCTTTGAATCTGATAGCAGAACCAATATGTACCAGCAGATTGAGAAGTCATTGAAACTTTTGTTAAAACAAGTCTACATTTAGTCCCTCTACATTGAATCTAAGGTTAGAGAAGCAAACATATGTCTGATCAGATTAGTGCCATATCTGTAGTGTTGCCTAAGAACAACTCTTACCTTATTTAGTCTCATGTTTATTTCATAAAACCACTGAGTGAAAAATGCTTTTTTGTCTCAGTATTCTTCGTGGCATAGTTATTTTTTTCAAGCACCGGATACCATTTATAAAGAAGAGGAAATTAAAGAATCATGCTTTCTTTCAGCAGCAGGGTTTTTCTTTTTTTTGTATTGGATATATTGTAGTGTAGTCAAGGACATCATTTTTTGTTAGAAAACCAATTAAGTTGCAAAATTACATTTGAGATTACAGAAGGAGATTTTAGCAATAAAAGTGAGTATTTGTCAGAAGCATCTGTTTTTAAAGACATGAGACATTGTTTGTACTGACAAACAATCTGGGAGCTTTACCTTGATAAAACCACCAAAATAATAAATATTTAAAGAATTTATTCTCTTCTTACATAAAGAAATATGATCATCCTTCTATCAGTCTGTCCATCTATTAACTCCTTCCCTCTTTGATTTATTTTTTGCAGGTTCCATTTTTAAAGCCTGTGTTAAGATATCTGCCATCCACTCATTATGTTTGTAGTTATACTTTTAAATTGGGTTAAAAGTACAGGGAAGTCTAGAAATGTGTGTCTGGGAAAATATGGAATTTTGACAGGTGAAACCTTTAGATTATATGAATCCAGGAACTAAGCTAGAAATATAGACATATATCTGCATAAAGATCTAAGAAAGATTTACATCTAATCTTGTAATAGCAGGATGCATCCTCATACTGTGTTAATATCACATTCCAGGATGTCCATGTTCCAGAATAAAATCCAGTGCCATTATTAATGCCCCAAGCATATAGCTTACAGAGAAAAGGGACATCTTTACTAATTCTAAAATTCAAATCCTATGAGGTAACCAAAAGTCCCACGCCACCCCTTTAATTCATCTTGCATTAACACATTGTAGATTACTGCCAAAGCTACATTTTTTTGTGACACCAATGCCCATTATTGAGTTAAGTAAATCCAATGCATCTTTTCCTTAATGTGTAAAGTCTGCAGAATATCTGAACCCAGCAAAAACCTTCATCTTTCTGTCTGTCTGGCTATTGTTTGTTTAGACTGATATTCTTAAAAATGAAAAAAAAAAATGGTAAACTCTAGAAATGTAAGCCTTGAAGAGAGTCTGGATACATTCAATCTTATCTGGGTCATTAACCTATTTTCTCTCCAGAACCCTTTTCTCCATGTAAACTAGTCACATACCTTAAAGCATTCTTTGCATGCCTCAGTATACACTGTTGGGTATTTAAAACAAGGAGGAAATCAATATTCAGATTCTAATCTGTTCTAAATCTAGTTAATTAGATGCTCATTAGTTACGGCAAACATACTAATAAAGGCATGTTCACCTCTGCTTGTTAATATAAAGTTTCTCATAGCAGAACTGCAGAGCAGCGTATAGTTTGTGTTGATAGTATAATAATGTGTTTCTTTATACTTTTGCTCAAAAATAAAGGAAAGCTTCTGGTATGTTGTCAGATTATGACAAGTATGTTTTTCCATAAATGCAAATAAGTTAACACCTTTAAACTTATTTGCAAATCTAATTGAAACAAATGCATCCTTATCTGTATATTGTTGTTTTACAGAACAAGAAACAATTCTGACTATTGTATTTAAGGGAACCCTATGGTGTTACTGGGTTAGAATGGCACACGGCCTAAATTCTTTGTGCATTTGGTAAAACAAGGTGCATACAACTTCCTCTGAGATTTTGGTATTTATATGATTGCATCCTGTATTTTCAGAAATTTGCCAGATCCCCCACACCTTTAAAAACATTGATTCATTCTGCCTATTTTGTCTTTTTTCCGGCCATTCTCTGCAAACCCAAGAGATTATAGTAAGTAAAATTCCCTGCAGATCAGCAGGTTCAGAACAGTACACATCAGGTACTGACAGCAATCTCAGTTACCGTCACTAGGATTCAATTTGTTTCCCAATCTAATGCTTGCTGAGCTCCATCAAGGGGGTCTATGCACAACTCCACTACTCCTCAACTAAAAGCAGCTTTTTTGTTTCCTATCTTTCATTACTGGATGAACTGATTAATCCAGGTGGTTCTGGTCATGGTAACTGAGATCAGGCACACCAGGAAACAAAAGAGCTGCCTTATGTTGAGGAATTAGTGGAGTTGTGCATACATCCCATTCTGGTGAGTAGATCTAGCATGTTGACTCTTTGTCTTTTTTAAACCATGAAGAATTTTTGTGGTAACTGTCTGCTCTGAATGTACACAAAATACCTTGAGAATAAATAGAACTGCGGTAGAAGATACCCTTAACGGACCTGCAACACCCTCAGAAGAAAAAAGGAAGGATATAAAACAGCACTAACAGAACAATTGAAAGAAAAGCTCTTAGCAGAAAAATTTGTGTGCTTGTAGATGATATAAAACGTTTTTGGAAAAATCTAATGTACATAAAAGTCTGGTACTCAAATAAAGTACAGCTTGTTCCAGAGCTTGTCCATGAAATGGGCAGATGGCCTGTCTGATTATCAGTATGGGCATCTGTGTGTGTCTGGGCAGGAGTGTTGTACTCAAGGTTTTATGCGGGACCCCAAATGTCCTGGGGTTCTGTTTGTGAGTGAGGGGAAAATGTGGTGTTTTGTTTAAGCGGTGAGGATATGATGTCTAAATGCATTGTGATGCAAACATCCGATTGGATGGTTAGCTATTTGTGCTAACATAGGAGCTCCTAGTCCAAGTGGCCAGGGAGTG